CTGTCCACGTCCATAGGCGCCGGACCACTGTCCGATGAGGATGCTGCGCCAGGGCGTGAAATCGGTGCCTTACTTCCCAAAGAGGATTCAATCACTAGGTCAATTTCTGATTTCATCTGTGCGTAGGTTGCGAGGCGTCCTTTGTTCAACAAAAGGCGGCGTTCAATGTCTGAGGGTACAAGCAACTCCACAGGCGTTCTCGCTCACCAGCTTCATTCTTGCGATTTTCATATCGCCTGAAAAGGTCTTCGAGTTGCTCTATCGCAGCCCTCACATTTTCCCACCGTTTCACACGTTCTGGGTTCAATATCGCCCGGAGTATGTTTCTCTTCCGTCCGGCGGTTAAGGGATCCCACCGGCGGTGGATTCTTCTCCACGCTTCGAACCCGTTAGAACAGCCTATCACCAAGTCCTCAGTCTCTCCATGGGTTAAGGAAGAAAGCAAACGAAACAATTGGTCCCCTATGTGGTAAACCGGACACCCCGTCCGGCTCCCCATGCGCGGCCTCGACTTCGTCCACAGTGATGTCGTCAGACCCATCCTGATCGAGGCACCAATCCAACACTTTCCCGAACTCCTTCCCAAAGATGCTGACAACAAGGTTTGTGACTGAACGCACCCACTTCCAGAACGTATGCTCTTCATTGTTGAATCGTTCCGGCTTACCAATCCCTTTTGTGTCAACCAACAGCTTCCTGGGTTCTTCCCTCTTTGTACTTCTGGCCAATTCTGTCATGCTTTCGGCCAGCCGGGTCAACAAGGCAGTTTGTTCCTGCTGCCTCTGTTGCTGCTCGCGCCTCTATTTTCCTCAAGGATCTGCTGCAGTTGCGCTTGTATGGCAGCTAATTCTGCCATCAGCCCTCGGCAGACTATACGTCTGCCTCGCTATCCTCGGCGGGTTCTTCCACCAGGACCTCGGAACCCGAAGTGTAGGTTTCCGAGTCCGTGGACTCCTGCTCAGTCGAAAAGCGGACTCCGGACCACTTCTGCCGCGGAGCTCCCGGTGGCTTCTGCTTGGGCTTGAGGAACACCGGTAATCCTTTGCTGCTTTTGGCCACTTCCTCACCCGGCTTTTCCTCGGGCTGCTCCTTGGGCTGCAGCTTGGGCTTCAGCTTGGGCTTGGGCTGCAACTTGACCTTTGCTGCAGGCTTGCTGGATGCTGCCTTGGGCACAGGTGGTGGCTTCTTCGCCGCGGGCTTGGGGTTCACTGCAAGGGCCTTTGATGCAGTGGTGACAGCAGCAGGTGCGATAGGCGTCGCGCCCTTCGCGCCCTTGCCTTGGCTCGCGATGCGCGCCGCACGCTCCAACACCCACGGGTATTGGGCGCGGCGCCTCTCGTCGCACGAGCTGCAAGCCTTTGCTAGGCTGTCACGGGCCAACACCTGGGCCCTGATCGCTGCCTCTACGGCAGCTCCGGCTGTGCCGGCGGGTCGTCCTTCTGCGTGCGTGGGCGGAGGCGGGCTGAGTGCCGCGAGTGCGGCGGCGCGGCGGTCTGCGAGCATGGGCGGAGGCGGGCTGAGTGCCGCGACTGCACCAGCTTTGTATCAAAAATCATTCGCCGGAGCGCAGAGCTTGCTGCGACACATGCGAAAGACGCACGGCGACAACCCACGCGCATTTTGTTTCTTTGTTTGTTTGTTTTTGTTTGTGTTGGTTTGATTTCTTGTTGAAATATGTAGCCCAATACGCATGTTGTCATATACAGTTGTACAGTTGAGACTACTGACATGTTTTGGCTCAAGAAAATAAGGCGCTCCGAAGCAGCCAAGTAGATTTTCATGGTAGCGGGGAGCAGTAAAGGTTCAGAGGAACCTAATCGCTCAATTTGGTACTTCGCCAGCAGAGGGCGAGGATCAGTACCGCCTTGGAGGCGGGGAGGCCGCGGACGCGGCAGGAGCCCGGCGGCGGTAGAGCCGCCAGGCAAGGAGGGCGCTTCGGTCGTGCCAGAGACCGAGGAGCCGCTCGAAGAGGCCCCGGTGGAGGAGACCGGGTCTGTGCCGGCAGCTGATCTGCCGGTGGAGGAGCCACAGCTTGGAGGAGCTCAAGAGGAGCCAGAAGAATTGGCTTCAGGACCTGACTGGTCCCCCAACGAGGAGAACGTTGCCCAGCAGGCAGCTGAGACAGAGAGGATCTCAGCTAAGCTGCTGGAAGAGCCAGAGGAGCCGCCAAAGAAGAGAAAGAAGAGAGGAGAGGATAAGCCCCCAGAGCCGAAGAAGCAGCCGCGCAAGGGGTGGATCGTCAATAGATCCACAGAAGCTTCAGCGTCGGACTCGGACGCCTGGGGCAACTGGCGATCTCCTTTGATCGCCCTGGCAGCCCCGTCCTCATCGCATCCAGAGGCTGCCAGTAGCACAGCACCAGCACCAGCAGCAGCAGAAGCAGCAGCTGAGGAAGCAGGCAAGGGAAAGGGCAAAGGCAAGAAGGGCAAGAAGAAGAAGAGCAAGGCGCCCTGGCCCCGCGTGCAGGAGAACTCAGCCGGTAAGTGGAAGGACGGACGCCGGTCCAAGGAGGCGATGTCCTACCGGTTCCTGCGGGGCTTGATCAAGTTGAACTTGAAGCGCAACAACCCGATCCCGCCTGCAGTCCAGGAGGCTCTCGATAAGTTCGAGGAAGAGTACGGCTACGAGGTGCCCATCCCCCAAGGCTTTGGCAGGACCAGGTGGTCCAAGGCAAAGGCCAAAGCGGGAGTTGACCCGCCGTAAGAGAAGGCCGACCAGTGGAAGCACCTCGGAGGAGGAGGAGGAGCCCGCTGCCAAAGCAGCCGCAGCAGCTGAGGAAGCAGCAGCACCAGGCACTGGGCCAACTGCATTGCTGCCGGAGGTGGCAGCCGCGGCGAAGTCTGCAGGCCGCGTGATAAGTGTGGCGCTAGCCACGCAAGAGGCAGCACTGCGCAGAGTGCGTGCAGGCAAAGCCACCCCGGAGTCTGCACTGGCCAGCAACTACCGCCTGAGGAACGCGGCAATCGCTCAGGAAATCGCCGAGCGTAAAAAACAAACAAAAGCATCAAACAAAGAGACAAGAAAGCAAACAAGCAGACAAAGAATGAAACAAAACAAACGAACAAATAAAGAAAATACAAACCAACAAGAAACAAACAAAACAAGCAGAGAAAGAAAACAAAAAGAGAAAGAAGGAAACAAAAGAAACAAAGAAGAAAAAAGAAAGCAAACAAAGAAAGAAACAAAACAAGCAAAGAAGAAGAAGAAGGAAAACAAACTAAAAAAGAAAGAAAACAAACAAAGAAAGAAAGAAACAAAGCAACAAACAACAAAAAAAAAGAAATAAAGAAAGAAAAAAGCAAAGCAATAATTCAAGATACAAACACAAACGAAGAAAGAAAGAAAGAAAGAAAGAAAGAAAGAAAGAAAGAAAGGAAGGAAGGAAGGAAGAAAGGAAGAAAACAAACGAAGAAAGAAAGGAAGACAGAAAAGAAGAAAACAAACGAAGGAAGAAAGACATAAAGAAAGAAACAAACGAAGAAGGAAAGAAATAAAGAAGGAAAGGAAGAAAACAAACGAAAATAAGAAAAATGACAAACGAGGAGAGAAAGAAACAAAACAAACGGAACGAAGAAAGACACAAACAAAACAAAGACAAAGAAACAAAGAAAACACTGCAAAAATTCGAGATACAAACAAAAGAAAGAAAACAAACAAACGGGGGAAAAACGCAAGAAGAAAAAATAGAACAAACCAAGAAAGAAAGAACAAAACGAACAAACAAACGAAAAACAGAAAGAAAGAAACGAAACGAAGAAAGAAAAGATGAAAACCAACGAAAAAACAAAGAAACAAAACACACGAAGGAAGAAACAAAGAAACAAAGAAAACAAACGAAGAAAGAAAGAAACAAAGACAGAAAGCAATAACAAAAAGAAAGAGAGAAACAAAACAAACGAATAAAGACAGTTGAAAACAATCAGAAGCAAGGAAAGAAAACAAACGAAGAAAGAAAGAAGAAAAATAGCAACAAAAACATGGAAACAAAACAAATGGAACAAAAAAGAGAACACAAACGAAGAAAGGAAGAAAGAAAGAAAGAAAGAAGAAAGAACACAAACGAAGAAAGAAAGAAACAAGCAAACCAAGAAAGAAAGAAAGAAAGAAAGAAAGAAAGAAGGAAAGAAAGAAAGAAAGAAAGAAAGAACAAAAACACGGCAACTGAACAAAGAAAAAATCAATGCAAACGACCAAAGAAAGAAACAGAACAAACAAACAAAGACAGAAAGAACACAAACGAAGAAACAAAGAGGGAAACAAGAGTTTAAAAGAAAAATAACAAAACAAACGAAGAAAGAAAAGATAGAAAGACCACAAACGAAGCAAGACAGCACGAAGACACACGAAGAAAGAAAGAACACAAACAAACGAAGGAGCAAAGAACGACAGAAGAAAACAAACAAATGAACGAGACAAAACCAACGAAGAAAGAAAGACACAAAACAAACAAAGAATCTGAAAGGAAGAAAATGAAAGAAAGGAGGAACACAAACGAAGAAAGAAAGAAAGAAAGAAGGAAAGAAAGAAAGAAAAAAGAAAGAAACAAACAAAGAACGAAAGAACGAACACAAGCGAAGGAAGAAGGAAACAAAACTGAAAGTAAATAAACGAATACAGAAGGAATTAAAATAAACGGATAAAAAAAAGGGGAAAAAAAGAAGAAAAAAAACAATCAATCGAAGAAAGAAACAAAACAAACGAAAAAGGAAAGAAACTAACAAATGAAGAAATAAAGAAAGCAAACAGGCAAAGAAAGAAGCAAAAAGAAAAACAAGAAAGAAAGAAAGAAAGAAAGAAAGAAAGAAAGAAAGAAACAACACAAAAACAAGCTAAGAACCACTGAAACACCATGAACGAAGAAAGAAAGAAAGAAAGAAAGAAAGAAAGAAAGAAAGAAAGAAAGAACATGAACGAAGAAAGAAACAAAACAAACAAAATAGACAAAGAAACATGGAAACACGGAAGCAAACACATGAACCCATTTTGCTCGCAAGCGGCGCCTGCCAGCTCCAACTCCCCAAGCAGCGCCAGGGCCTGTCCCAAGTGCCGCCTCGCTTTGGCCGAGTCCGTCAGCCGCAGGCAGGAGCCTAGGGACGGCAGGCAATGGCCCCAAGCAAGGCCCCGGCTCCGCGCGATTCTTCGACAAAGAGATTGTTTCGTGCTCCTTGTCTCATCTCTTCCATCCAAGTACCGGTTCCCCACTTTGAAGAAATCCCCTGCAGTGGGGACTTCCTTCAAATTGCCGGGTCGCAACACGAGCAGTCATATTTGTCCCACCCCTGCCTGCCGTGGCCACTGCATCATGCAACATGCCGGTCCGAATCGAGCACAGCGCCAGGTTGCTGAGCAGTTTCGCCACCTCCAAGGAAAACAACTCTTCCAGTCATCTGCAAGTGTTACAAGAACTCCAAATAAGAATTGGATCTCTAAGTACAGGAACTATATCATCGTGAGCTGGTTGTACCCTCAGGTGAGCCAAATCAGAATAGGCAGAGAGATGCCAAAGTGGAACCTCCCCAGTCTTCGCTGTGACTTATGAATGTCCCCGGATTTATGAACCTGGCATGTTACTAGGGTGTTGTTTTCAAAATGGGTACAATCCCCTCTTAATCAACCAGGGTTTCACAAATCCTGGGCTTAAATTGCCTCTATCTTTCGAAGGCATCACATGATTCCAAAAAGTAAATGTGTCAAAGTAGGGAACCAATAAAACATGATGTTGGCGTTTTGGCTGTCCTTCAACCAAAGCCTCAAAAAAAACACGACCAAAAACAGAAAGGGTCGCCGCGGCTGCATTTTCGAGGGGGGAAAAAAGAAGTCACTCCAAAAAAGCTGGAGATTACAAAAAAACATAACTAGCCTGGGCCGAAATTGCGCTGCTTTGGAAAACTCAAGGTTGTTTGCAGGTGGTTCAAAAGCGTGAAAGCCTTGTGTGTTCAAACAAGAAATCAAGAAACAAGAAGCAGACCCACCTCGAGGGTGTGTGCATGTTTTGCAAAGCGTGAAGAGTCTTGAGTTGTCCAAAACAAACAAACAAACAAACAAACAAACAAACAAACAAAAACAGAAAGACCCCAACTCAGCTGGCACGTGGACACCTAGGGTCTAAATCGTGCTTCTGTTTGTTGTTGGAAAACTTGTGGATTTACAACAATCGAAAGAAAAGTCAACTCTGCCAACATGGATGCATAGGCCCTGAATGTGTTTGACTGTGACTGAAAAAGTCAGAAAAAGTGTGTAAAGCATCGAGTTGTCCGAGGCATAAATTGCACACGACCTAGATATATGCTCAAACCACGCTAGACATCTGATAGGAAGATGCAAGGCCTACGCCGGGCACTTGGTAGAGAGATGCTAGATACATGCCACAATTTCGGCAGAGAGCTGAACATAAGCGAAGCAACAAGCTAACGCTGTAGACACGGACAGAACAGCTAAATATTCACCAAACATGCTGCACACATGCTACGGCTACGCGGCAACCACAAGAAAACACGCCACAAGTCAAAGTACTGTCTATATATATATATAAGTTGGAGATATTGTATCCAAGCTCCAAATATTGTGGATGTATGCTAAAGACGGGCGCTGGAAATATGCAAGGTTTGCAAAACATATGCTCTACTTCTGAGATTCTTTCCCAAGCCTCCGAGGCATCAGGGTGGGCATCCAAAGCATCAGTGTAGAGGGCCACTGCCTTGGAGTAGCATTTGGCCCGGTAGGCCGCGTTGCCCTGTTCCTTCCGGCAGACCGATCCGCAGGAAAGAGAAGATCATGGAAAATCAACAAGCTCCAAAAAGGTAAACTAAATTTGGCAAGGATTCAAGGCCTCAAAACTGCCCGCTGTCTCACCAGTCCCATCTGGCCGGTGGGCTGTAAGGCTCAGAGCCTTACGCAGCACCTGCCGCACCTCCGCAACATCCGGCAGGTCAGCACCTGTTGTCAAAACGGGTTGGGCCAGTTCTCAAACCCACCCAAACACGAAAACATTGTCAAACAAAGAAAAACACTAGAAACATGGAGGGGCTCACACAACTTCATCCAAATCAACCCACCTTCCAACCCCGAAGCCGAGACAGCCGCCGAAGCCACCGACAGGCGGGGCCACCCAGCACCCGCCAAGGCACCAGCATAGCGCTGCCAGTGCTTGGCATTCCTTGGGGCTGGGCCAGCGAAACATGTTTCTTAAACATCCATGGCCCATTGTTTAAAAACCTTTGAAACAACCACCTCTGAGCTCGTCATTTTTGAAGAGTCTCGTACCTTAAACAGTTGCCCAACCAACTCTCCTCGGCTGCAGCAGCAACCCGGCACTGCTGTCTCGCAAAGCCTCCAGCCAATGCTCCTGCTTCAGATACGCCTGCGCACGATTGGAGAAGAGCACTGCCACGTCCTGGGCCAAACGAGGCCAGCAATGTGCTTTAAAATCCGTGCTGGCACCTGGTTTTGGCTTCCCATAAAAACGGGATTGTTTCACGCACCCCATTCTGAACCTCTCCTCGCAGCAGCGCAAGGCCTGCCAGTAGGCGGTCAAAGCCGCCTGGAACTGCCCAGCCCCAAAGAGCGCGTTGCCGCGCTGCCTCCCCGCCTCTCGGCTCTCCTTCCCGCTCGACACACGCGGCTCCACACGGAGGTCGTGGGGGCTGTCCACCCGCACCCCGCGGTTGCCGTCGCGGAAAACCTTCCTTGGCTGAGTCCAAATGCCAACTGAACCAAAAAACAGTGCGCTCCCATTTGCGTTGATCTAGAGAGCCAACATGAGCTGAAAAGCATCCCTGGCTTGTCTCACGGACAAAGACGCAACAAATACATACGGCCAAATCCTGGGCCAATCACATGAAGGGCTCCGCGATTCTCAGCGTGGCGCCCTTGGGGAACATTTTGTCCGCCAGCATCAGCGCATCAGATCCCACTGCCCCGCCAGGCAGCTGGTTGTACAAGCCCAGCTGAGTCAACTGCCCGGCGGAATCCTCCAGCAGCGTGGTGATGCCGACCTTTTTGTCTGCGGACAATGAAAGACGAAGAGCCCTTGAAGTGTGTGAACATGTCAAAAACTGTCAGAAAAAAACGCTGGGCTGAAAACAAGTTAGAGGGTCAGTGTCAGGATGTCACTTTACTCGACCAAGCGTGCGCCTGCGTTATTCAATATCCCTTTCACAACGGATCAAGGCGCGTGAGCAGCAAAAAGTCAGTAAAAACAGCGGGTTCAAATTGACTGTACAAACCAACAACAAAATTGCCTTTGACCAACGTGACTCACAACCGGTTTGTCACACAACTACTGAATGCTCTGGCCCAGCCCACCCTTCAAATCGCCTGTGCGTCGGGATCCGTCACGAGTCGGCCCACCAGAACACAGCCCTTGGCGACTTCGAAGAGCTTCAGACTCTCGGCCGCCACGGGCCTTAAAGACGCCCAATCCCGCGCGGATGACCCTCCAGGCTTCACCACGGTGGAGTTGGTGCTTAGCTGCAAGAAACTGGTTTTGTTCAGCTTCCGGCTGCGCTCTCTCAGCTGCTCATGCCGCCACAGCTGCATGTGCCTGGGCTTCCTGCAGCCCCAAGAGGGCAGAAGCTTATACTTCAGCGTCTGGATCGTCTGAGGTGGTATGTCGCAGGTCCAAAACAGTCTTAGCGCCCGCAGGATTGGGCAGCCCGTCTCCGCAGATTCATTTCGTTTCTTGGGGCCCATCAAACTCTCCTCCATCAGCTGCCGCGCAGTCTCCTCCACGGACACTTGCAGTGCCTGCAACATCTTCGCCCTGGCTTCACCTGGGGTTTGTCTTGTTTAAGAAACGTCCTGCTTAAGAAAAGCTGAGGGCAACCTTTATCCCACCTCGCAGTTCTTCGAAGTCAGCAACCACCTCGGAGGAACAGCAGCTCTTCAGAAGCTCAATGTAGACAAGCTGCTTCTCTTCGTCCCCCACTTCGTCGGACTTTGGAAGTTTTGACTGCACTTCGTGCATCATTTTTTCCAAAAGCTCCGGCGGCATCTTGTCAATGCAGCCAACCATCTCCGGCGGCAGCATCTGCGCGAGCTGCTGTAGATCCATTCTGGGCGATCCCTACTTCACTTTCACTGGACATCTGGCCCAAAACTCTGCGGGTGTCTTGCGAAACATCCACGAACTGCAAAAATATGAGGCAGAGTTCATCTACGATTTTGTGACTGTTAGCAGCTGTACCTTTCGACAAAAACAACTCAGTTGGCAAAATGTGCCGCAGCCTTCAACCTTCGTCCAGACAGAGCTGTCGCCAATGCGCTTGCTGTTTCAAGTCCACCTTTTGGACCTGGTACTGAGGAAAACAGACTGCCATTTGATAAGTTCAACTGTACATATCAAATGAGCCAATGCACTGGAGCTCCCGCAAGACCCGGAAATCAAAGGTTTGCAAAAACCGCAAGAAACAAAGACTCTTGGCAGTGCAAGAGCCGGAACTGTACCAGAACACTGCCTCAGGCACAAACGCACAAAGGCAGACAGGCAACATACAAACCGACACGCAGGTACAGGGGGAACCCGAAGGCGATGAAAATGTGGCAAGGCCAGGGGTCTGCCCACAACGGAAGCCAGACGGCAGACATCGAGCAGCTCAGTTTCAGGACACGGGATCAGCAGACCAGAAGCCAAGCTGCCGGAAAACGCACGGGTCGGTTCCAGACGTGGCTTTGGCTAAGGCCTTCCACGTCTCCCCAACCTTCAGCAAAGAGGGGAGTAAACTGCTGTCTTTCATCTCTTGCAAAGTTTTCTTGGCTTCATAATGGGCGGCTCTGTCGCCATCTGCGCGGATTGCCCAACACTGCCCTGCCTCAGCCAAGAAGTTCAGGTCAAAAGCAGCAGATCTGCGCAGGCCCCACCTGCCAACTCAAACAGAAGCAGGGCGGCCACTGCCAGATCGCGGCACCCCTCCCCATTCTTGACCTCAGTGTCCAGGGCAGCTGCAACGGTCCGCCCAATAAGCACAGACCGCAAGCGGCGATGCCACTTGGTACGTTGCCAAAGGGGCACACGCGGGCGTGGTCGTCTTTTTTTTTGCCTTATGGGCCCAGTGGCCATCGCTTGTTGACAGCGCACGCGCATAGAGCGTGCAAAAACAGCCCAATTCCTAAACCTACGGCGGGCTATACGATGGCAAATAGACGAACGAAAGAGTAAGCCGGAAGGACAAACAAGAAAAAACAAACAGGTCCCAAACAAGCGATTAGTTAGAGGCAAAAGTTCAACTAATCATGTATAAACCATGGAGCTGCCAAGGCCGCTCACAAGGAGCGTGACATAGGCTAGGCAAGGCGGCTCGCCTCATGTTTCCGGCGCATCTCAACAGTAAGGGCGGAATCTCGAGGCCTCACAGCCTTTTCATCTCCAATCGCGACAATCAAGCGCATGTCTCTCCCGATCCCTGATGGCTCTCAATCATTTTTAGTTCATTCCTTTATAGAAGTTGCTCCGCCTTGCAGTTAGAATCTTGATCACTGCTTCAAGCCGTAAGGGAACATGCAAAAAAAGACAAAAGAGTACGACCGACAAAAGGTGCGCTTGCTCTTTTTCTTTAAGAGGCGTTGCTTGGAAGTCAAGGCTCGGGGGTGCAGGGAGAAAGACAAAGCGTGTCCTTTCCCCGTGTCTGCACCCCCCTGCGGAGCCTTCTCAAATGCCCCCGCGGTCAACAAAGCGTGTTCGACCAGGCACCAGGGTGTTACCTGTGAGGCGTGAAACAATCGAAGGCATTGGTTGTTGCAGGATGCCATGCGTGCATCCGGCTGGCGTGCAATCAGCACACGGTGGAAGGGTGGGACCTGCCGAGGCGGTCACAGCATGCAGCGGCATGCCATGCGCAGTACTTGTCGGCACTGCAATGTTCTAGCCTCCTGGGTGCCAGCGAGGCGGCCACTGCAGCGGCATGCCCATGCGCAGTACTTGTGGGCACTGCGACGCCCTGGTCTCTTGGGTGCCAGCAGCGGCTGGGCACATGGAGGATCCACATGAGCTGTGAAAGGGTGGGTGGGTGGGCACAAAAAAGAGGGGTAGGACCCTCAAGCGTGACCCTTAGGGGGCTTGAAGCAGGAAACGGCAATGCGTCCGAAGATTCAATCAAGATTAAAACATAAGGGAAAAAGAAAACCCTAAACGATAGAATCTTGATCACTGCTTCAAGCCGTAAGGGAACATGCAACAAAAGACAAAAGAATACGACCGACAAAAGGTGCGCTTGCTCTTCTTCTTTAAGAGGCGTTGCTTGGAAGTCAAGGCTCGGGGGTGCAGGGAGAAAGACAAAGCGTGTCCTTTCCCCGTGTCTGCACCCCCCTGCGGAGCCTTCTCAAATGCCCCCACTTCAGGGTTCCAAGCAAACGGTCTAATCTATCGCCCCCTCTTCAGAGCGTTTGCGAAGCGCTTTTATGTTCCGGCCGCCATGGGGCGTCTGCCGGATGCAAAGACAGCGCGGATTTATGGGGCCAGAAATCATGTGGGAAAAAACGAAAGCGAGCATGCGGCTTGCTGTCAAATGCGGATGTGTTTCCGCGGCTGAGCTGAGCAGCCCACACGTTGTGTTCGCCTGGGATGTGCGAGGTCAGCACCGACCATTTGTGCTTGTAGGCCCACGCGGCTACTAGTCGCACAAAAATGTGCAAAGGCCATGCTGTGGACTCCGGCTTCGGATGCGGCATTGTCTGTGCCGGAAGGCGTGTATAGGCCGTGCACTGCTTGGCCTTCGGTGGTCCATGCGACCCGCATGAGCGCAAGCTGGGCCAAGGTTTCGAAGCAAGCTATGTAACGCTGGGCCTCTTTGGTGAGGCACGGCCATTGCTGCTGGACTCAGGTTTCTGCGAACCAGGAGACGGACCGGCTGGAAATGAACCAGCCGCCTGTGCCCACTTTGGTGCCCTTGGCACATGCGTCTGCGGCTGCCTTGCAAGCCAGGATTGGCTTGCTTTGCAGCGGGCATGCCAAGTCTGCTTCAAAGCATTGTAGAAGCCACTCTATGTTGGCTCTGCTTGTTTTGGACAAACGAGTGTGCCCGGCAGCGGGGTCGGCTACGCGCACCCAAGCTGTTTTGTGACTGGGCACCACTCGAGGCAAGTCGGATGGGCTGCGTGTTGGGGTTTGTTGGTATTCCAGTACCTTTGAGCCAAGTGGCATGAAAACGCCGCGCACGGGCGATGCCAGTACGGCTTTGGCATTCAGGGCTGAGACGAAGGCAGGCCACAGGCATGCGTTCACTGAGATCATGCAGCCTGGTGGCGAGCGCAGATTTGCATATAGAGGCGCAAGCCAAGATCTTTCCAGGCTCAGGCTGGTGGCCCAGATGAGCAGCCCCAGCACTTGCTCCAAAAGCTTTCTTTTGATTCTTTTTGATCGGAGCAGGGCACGCAGCTGCTCCTTAAGCTTAAGGGTCTTAGGCGGTGTGAGCTCGATGGTTTCTCAGTAGAAGTTAATGGACCATCCGCACCAAATCAGGCAGTCTTGGGACTGCACTTGCTTCCAGGAAATGGGCGCTTCGAAAAAATGACAATCAAAGCAAGTTGTTGATGCGCGTCTGGGCGGCGCAGCGCGGCCAAAAGGTTGACGACAAATAACCAAGCTCTGTGCGGGTGTGCTGATAGAATGCCGTGTAGCAGTCTGAGCAAGAATGCTCCCGCGCGTTGCCACCAGTACGCGGAGAACCGGGCTCCAAAGTGGCATACTCGGTAGTGGTACAGAGTGTCTGCGTAGCGAAACAGGAGCAAGCCGTGTTTGCTAGGGTGCACTTGAATTTGCTTGTGCGCAGCTTTAAAGTCGAAGCGGACCAGGCGTGGTTCCTTACCTTCTGCATGCACGACATTGAGTTTGCCTATCGCAATACCTTTGTGCCAATGCTGTCTGGCCTGTTCGATGGACATCTCTGTGCGGACGACCCATCCGCTGGAAATTTCTTTTTCTAGGAGAGCGGACACTGTTTCGGGCTCTGCTTCGGCGGCCTTCCAATTGCCCATGCATTCTGTGAGCTCGTGAGGCAGGTCTGCGTGCTCTTTGGGCGGCCACTGCATGCTACGCGGCAACTCGCAACTCGGCCCTCGGAGCAGGGGATGTCTGGTCATGGATGCCAGTGCATGCAGTAGTGACAGCCGGTATGGCTGGCCATTGTGTACTGCCTCAAAGGCAATGAGTGCTGCTTCTTCGGATTGCTGGACCGACAGGGGAGGCTGGACCTGACGCGGGCGAGAATTTTGGGAATCATTTTTTGTGCTTCCGCCCGCTGCAGCCAAGCTTGCGCCACCATCCCCAGCGGATGGTCGGGCTGGGGGGTCTGCTGTGGAGCGCATGCCCGCTCCGTCGCAGACCCCTGAGTCTGCTGGGGTGGAGGGTTAGGATGGACGGTTTTCGAAGTTCGCGTACCGGTTGCGTGCTGGATGCACGGGTTGTTGCGCGCGAAGCACCAAGATTTCGCAAATGGCATGTTGTGTTGGCATGCGTCCACCCATGCCAAGTGCCCGTGGAAAGTTTTGAGGCGCTGAAAATTTTCCGGCTCGAGCCACGCCATGCTGGACGGCGGTTCTTCAAACACTGCCACGCCGCCTTGAGTGGCTACCGCCTTGAAAAGTTCTCGGCTTTTCCTGTGAATCTCTTGAGGGACAAGTGAGGCACTCCTTGCGTGCATGCGGGAGTGCGTAAGGGTCTTGGACCTCCGGGGCAGAGTTTAAGTCTACTGTGCTCCTTACACGGTGGAGCCAGGCTAATCAGGCTGACGATGCCTGACCAGGATATGCGCATTAGTAGTTCAAAGCATGCATCGTCCAGGATGTCGTGCTCTGAGGCGTCGAGATTGAAGGCTTCAAATCGAGAGAGGCCCTGCCTGTCGGCGGCTGCTGAGATGGGCGCATGAATGCCTGCGAAGACATCCAAAAGGAAGCTCCCTTGATGTGGCAGCACTGCTCCCCCGCTGTCTGCGTAGCGCTAGACGGGCGAGCGGAGTTGCCTGCGGTACGCTTGGCCTGGGAGCCGTACGTCGGGGCAGCTGGCGCGGGCTGGAGCGCCTTGTTTGCGGGCGAATGTGGGTGGACAGTGCCAAGTGTTTC